TGACAGTTCCTCTGGGCTGTGGTGTGTGCACACTGCAGTGCAGACTGAGAGCCAACATTGTCCAGACCACCTTTACAAATCAGTCGGTGATTTGGRCTCAAAGTCACCTTCCTCCTCCTCCCAACAGCTACACAGAGCAAATCTCTAATTCAAATGAGGACACAGCGGAGAAATATTCAAAGACAGATTTCTGTGCTGTTTTCCTGATAACACAAGGRTGATATCCTGCCCCAAGTTATTGCTGTGCCCCAATCCTGCAGGAAAAAATCCTATCTCCAAGCAGATTGATGCTCCACCACTACTGAGGTCTAACCACCCTTTGARAAGTGGCAGATCTGATGAAAGCCATGAAAGGAGGCAGCAGAGTCCTGGCAGGCAGCTGCTGGTTCAGCAGACACAGGCAGAGCCCTGCCCTGTGCCCGGGCAGCTCAGGCTCTGCAGAGCCCCGTGTCCTGCCTGTGCAGGGCCCTTCTGCAGCAAAGGGCTCGGGGCATCCTCAGCAGCACYCGTGGTCCCTCCAGAGAGGGAAGGAGAAGAAATCCCACCCAGCATCGTGGCACAGTGAGCAGAAGGTGGGGGAAGGAAGCTGAACTGCCAGAGCCTCTCCGGCTGCCCCGGAGCTGTGGCCCCTTTCCTGCTGACTCCATTTCCTATGGGCTCCATCGCTTCCTCTCWGCCACCTTCAGCATCCCGACAGGAAAAAGGATTTCTCACCCTGTTTTGCTGATTGCAGAGGGCACAGCCTCCTCCCTGGAGGCTGGAGCTGGGCAGGAAAAGGCCACCCCATGCAGCCAGGAGGCTCTGCTCTGTCCCTGTGCCCAGGGCAAGGAGCTGGGATGGGAAAGGTGCCCCAGSAGCAGCCTCCACCATCCTGGCACCCCAGAACAGCCCCACCAGCACSTCCTAAACTCTCCTCTCCTGAAGAACAAGGAGCCACTTGGACGCCCAGCATGCTGGAATCACCTGCAGAGGCAAAGCACACCTGGGCCCACCAGCCCTGTAGAACTGAGCCTAAATCACTCAGGGMAGCTTTCTACAAATACCAGAGCTTACTCAAGCACTTTCCCAGTGCTCAGCCTATCTGCCCCAAATTCCTCTGGCTCTTTCTGGCATGCAGCACATCTCYGAAGGCACCAGTCAATGTCCACTCCTGCTTTTCACTGTTACACTTTGCATGCCAGAAAATTTCACAAAAAAGACTTTTTCACACTGAACAGTGATGACCTGAAGGACATTTTCACACTGAACGAGCTCTGCATGACAACCTGAGGTTAAACAATGCATCCATGCTGTACTCAACACTGTCTTGGACAGGGCCCACATCTCAGAGCTGTGTCCTTCATTCCTCAGCGTGGGCACTGGGGCCACACTGGCACGGGGTGTTGGGAGAGCATGACACCAGCATGCTCCCACAAGTGAACTGGGATTTCTCAAATACCTGTCCAATCCTTCCCAATCCCTTTAGGAACTCATTTACCTTGGAGAAAGTTGCACTGGCCAATGAGATGGTGATGTCCCGAGATACACCAGTGGGCATTGGCTCCAAGGGCACAGGTACGATTCGAGGACAGTCAACTTTCCTCTGCTAGGTACAAAAACAAGGAGAAAAGAGGTCAGCTGGGTGCATGCTGAGCAATCTCAGCAACAAGGRAAGACACACCAGGGTCCTTGGTAATATCCATGTCACTGGAAATGGGCACTGCTGGGTGCACTGTGGCTGTGTAGCTGTGCCTCAGCTGCCACTCGGGCAGTGACAGCRCTGGGATCACTCTGGAAGGGGACAYTGCCACCTCCAACAGCAGTGTGACCCTGTCCCTGTGCCAGCCACTGCAGCACAGGCTCCTGCCAGCTCCTGTCCAGGGTCTCCATCCTGCACGGGCACTGCAGAGAGCACGCTCTGCATGCAGAGGGCACGGGGAACCACGAGGGCTCCAGTGAGGGCAGCTGCAGTCAAACGCTGCAATGAAGCTGAAAAATTATTTCAAAAGGTCATCTGTCTCCCTACTTTTCTTCTCATTTYAAATTGATGTCTCAGACACTGAAGCTGACTCAGAATTCCAGCCTATGTGACAAACCCATCCTGTTCTCTCATGAGATGTAAATCATACTGCAAAACTACAGCAAAAAAGCCAGATTCTGCCTGACCCCAGGGTAATACAGAGTAATGCCTGTGACAGTGGAGCCATTGGGGTAAAAGACAACAAAATACTCGGTCCATTATGCTGAATCATTTGCAGCAGACATATTTCCTCTCGCTTGCATTAAAGGTTATCCTGCTGCACTCTGCTGATGCCAGAGCTGCTGCTGCTCCAAGGATTTTGAGCCTGCCCTCCCAGTGTTCAGACACATGCCTGCTGGACACATCCCTGGGACTGGACTCACAGCAAGTGGGAGGTTTTAGCCCTGCTTTCCCCAGACCTCTGCAGGGCTCAGGGAACTACCTGGAAGTGCCTGTTTGACTGTGGGAAAAATGCTTCACTTCTGTCAGGACACTCATCTGACCAAGCACAGTCAGTGCCCCTAAACAAAGAGATCAAATAACTGAGATGAACGTGATGAGGGAAGCAAAAGAGCAAAGCAAAAGACTGGGAGGAGATTTCCCCAAGACTCTTCCAGGGGAATCAAGAGTTAAAATAAAACCAGCAGGGCTACGACTGAAATTTCAAAAAACCTCTGTGAGTCCACCAGAGCTGACMCAGCTTCCAGAGAAATACACTTTRGAGAACTGCAGCCCCTTCTGCTGCYGTTCCCCAGCAAGCAGAACCACAGCTCCCAGCTGCCTACATCCTTCACCTGAGGCTGGAGGAGAGGGCAGAATGTTGAAGATGCTGAGGATGGAGGCAGTACAATGTGCTTTCCTGCAGAGCCAGGTGCAGTCACATCAGCAAGGGTTTGTTTACCAAAAGCTTTGACCACATGATGAACTACAGTGTTTCCAGGGCTACAGMACCTCTCCTGCAGCTGCTCAGGAGATCAGCAAGAGGCACAGAGAGAAAACAAATGTGCCCAAGCAAGACAACATCCAGCCCAACTGCACCTCTGGAGAAGGAGATCTGAGCAGACAAAGTTAGTCCCTGCTAATCGAGGACWAACCCAGGGCAGTCCCCAGGTGACCCCACTGCCCTGATGTCACCAAGCACTGGGTGACACCCCCAAGCCCCCGGCCCGAGCAGCAGTGGCCAGCAGCACACACAAAATGAGCACCCACTGCCCCAACAGTCGGGCATGTGCAGACCCCTGGCACGGGACCAACATCAGGACAGTCTGAGAAAATGCCAGACACTAAAACCTGCAAAGTGGACAAAGCAGAGGCCCCAAAGACGTGGGTGTGCAGAGGGAGGCACAGCTGATCCCAAGACGCTGCCCGTGCTGCTGGGACAGCAGGGACCCTGCAGGGACTGTTCCATCCACATTCCCCAGGGACTGACACCATCTGTGTGCTGCTGCAGCGTGGTGGCTTTGGCCTCACCCCCATGCACCCAAAGTCACCACCTCCATCCACTGGAGAGGAGCTGTGCAGGGCTGGTCTGGGTCAGCCTGGGACATCTGACACGGGGCCAAGCTCCTCTCAGTGATGAGCATGGGGAGCAGTGGAGAGCTGAGCTGAGAGCACAGCACTGGTGCAAAAGGGATATTCAATTTACAGTATAAAAGCTGGGCTTGGATCTAGAGCAGATTGATTGCTAAAAGACCCATTTTATTTAAATAAACTTCAATTTAAATCTGGGTAGCAGGAACACTCTGAGCCTCTGGGTATTAAAGMTGAATTTGGAAAGAGGAGATTTTCTCCTCTGGATGAGCACTACCAGAGGTGCTCCAGCACGTTATTAACATACAGCAGCCTTGAGTCAGGCCTAAGGGAATGGGGGACTGTGGTTGCTGCTTTCTGTGCTGAAAACCAGGAGGCCCAGCATGTGCAGAAGCAGTGGCATTGCTCCAGGGATGAGAAGTGATGGAGAGCCCCCTGAGGGCACCAGGACAGCTGAACCCTTCAGCACGGTGTGCCATGGCAGGCTGAGCTCASCTGCCCACACCATGGCCTCCTGAASCRGCCCCAGGCACAGCCAGACAGGGCTCAGAGCAGCACCTGAGTGAGCCTCACCTGCATCTGCAGCACATCAGCACACTGGGACTGGTTGGAGATGCAGCTGTAGGCAGAGGGGCACCAGTGACACTTCCACCGGGCCGASAGGCAGCTGGTGCACCTGAAATGGCAAAGGCACCGTGAGAAATGCACAATAGAGGTTGCTCAGAGGGATCACACCTCAGCCCCACAACCCTTCTTCACATTGTTCAGCCTTCAATAGTGCCTACAAAAACCCAGTGCAGGTGCTGCATTTCCCTCTCCTTCCATCCCTGGGAGCTGACAGGGGATGCAGTCAGAGCCCATCACCCCCAGGCATCCCYTGGGCCATGACAGACTGGGAGCCACCCTCCCCTGCTTGGCAAAAGCCATTTTTCCTCCCMAAAATGCTCTTTCCCCTCATCTGTTTCTCTGAGGAGCCTGGCATGCTGGGCCTGAGGAAGACTCTCCCTGCGGTTTGGGAGCGCCAGTGGGCAGGACATGGGGGCTCTGTGGTCAGGACCTGCTGCTGTGCCCCAAAGGTGAATGAATTTGGGTGTGAGGCACCAGAGCCTCCCTCATGCCCGTCAGGTTAACGTGGCTGCTCCCACCCAGGGCTGGAAGGGGCACCAGACCATGACCCTCCCTTCCCCAGAGCCCCACAGATTGCTGGGGAGGCCATCTCTGCTGCTGMAGGGTTAACAGAACAAGCTTTATATAAAAGTGTTATTCATGATTAAAAGAAACCAAACATATCCAGATGGCTTGAGGACCCTCCTCTGGCACGGCATCTCCCACCATCCTGCCAAATCCTGCCCAGGCACCCAGGCACCAGCTGGCAGGGCTGCTGCTCCCCAGGAACCCCACACGGAGGATCCCTGTCCAGCTTTGTGCTGGCACCCCCAGCATCACCCACCCCACTCCCACCCCACAGTGCCACCTGTGCCCAGTGCCACCACCAGCCCAGTGCCACCCGTGCCCAGTGCCACCTGTGCCCAGTGCCACCACCAGCCCAGTGCCACCCGTGCCCAGTGCCACCACCAGCCCAGTGCCACCTGTGCCCAGTGCCACC